TCCAATGGAAAAACAGATGTGCCAATGTTAGCGTCCTCTCACAAGCAAGTACCACGAGCATCGAAGTAATGATCATCCGATATCAACTTTGCTGAGCCAGCCATGTCATCCGGATGTCTGACTCTAGACTCCCAAAGCAAGTTTTATTCTCCCAGCTCAGTCAAAGTGCATCTTCAAGAGGAGGGCAGAGAAAGTGTTTCAAGGACGTCCTCAAAGCCAATTTGAAAAATTGCAGCGTTGACATCAAATTGTAGGAGACTCTTCCCCAGGACTGACCCAAATGGAGGAAGACTTTGCTGCAAGGATCTCAGTACTTTGAAACCTTATGATGACAACGGGAGACAGAAAAGCAGGAGCAGCAGAAATAGTGTGTTGCTGAGCAAATCAGGAATCCAGAGCCACCCATCCTGCACAGACAAATACGTGCCCAAGTTGCAGCAGAATCTGTTGATCTCGAATCAGCCTCTTCTGCTATCTTTAGACTCACAGATAGAGCAATCATATGGAAGACAATCAACCATGACTGCAAAGGATTGCCAATGACAAGGGAGCTCATTGCTTTAAAAAGGCCAATTATTTTCTTTAAAAGGTGGGACAGCAGAGTTCTGGCTGCGCACCAGAGTTCCAGCTGCTGGGAAAGGGAGAAAAGTGAAGGGCAATGCAGAATGAGATGCCAACAGGACCAACCAGACCTGTCTCATCACAGAACACTTGGCGTCTACATGTAACAGTGAACGGGCGCACTGTGAGCCAGTTCCAAAGATTACCAGATTTTCTAGGGGTAAAGGTTGTAGACGTGTTGGTCTAAGATGTGTTGGCAGGCAAAGTTCTTTGGGTAAATCCGATATCTTTTATTAGACCAGCTAAAATAGTCCGGAAAATTCTTCTGTGCAAGCTTTCAGGTACAGGAGAATGCCCGCCAATGAAAATGCATTCTCGCATACTGGCTTCTGGTTTCTATTCTATTCCATCCAGGAAGAGCACAGACCAACTGCAGACACTTGTACCTGAAAGCTTGCAAAGAAGGATTTTTCCAACTATTTTAGTCAGTCTAATAAAAGATATCGGATTTACCCAAAGAACCTTGCCTGATTTTCTAGGTACACTTTTGAACCATTCCTGGCAGCTTTAAACCAATTGAACTGGCTTTTATATCTATACATATCAGATTTAAACCACATTTAAATGGGGCTAAGTATTATGTGTGTGCACAGAGTCATTGAAGCATAGGCCTGCAGAAAGTCTTTTAACTGACCACAGCACAGTGAGGCAAGCATGAAGCCCAACTGTCTGATTTGATATCAGTAGATTTGCCCAAAACAGGCTTTGAACTTGACTAATTCAAAATTAAAATTACTTCAAAAGTGTCAGCTGATTAAACATATCCAAGAACAGAAAAGTTTGCTCTAGTCCTGTTGCAATGACTGCTTGCATTAGAATCACAGAGTCATTTCTCAAAACAATAATCAAAGACATTTTTTAGACAATGTACAAAATGGCTATACTGACTAGGCTGTCTTCCTTTGTTAAAGTTTGTCCTGAGGCAAAAGAAGCTTTGTAGAGAAACCCCTATGCTAACTCTTGTCATTCATTCCAGCTGCCTGAATACTTCTGCATGACAATTGAAAAGAAAGCTGGGCAACCTCAGCAGGTCTCCAATATCAGTTAAAAATCACAGCAGCCATTTACTATGAAATCCTTGCTTGCTTTTTACCAAGAACTTTGTGCTGTTAGCATTTAGACCACCCTGCTTCTCAAAAGCTAAGGCAATGATGCACAAGTTGTACTAGTTTAAGTCAAGCCAAACCCCAAAACGGATCAAATGATATTCTTTTCCATCCATACTATCATTTCTGTATCCAAGACACACTAACAGCAAGTCTCTTAAATGCTCTAAGGACAAAGGGGGCAGAAAAAGCACTGCCTGAAATATTACACTGGGCTCAACTTTAGCAAATGTACTTGGAATAAGACTAACATTGTCATACTCCTACAGAACATTTCAGTTCATCCATGTTAATAAAAGAGCTGTAAAGCTTTCAGATTATCTTGCTTTTTCCTTTGCAGCTCAGTGTCATTCTTAGATGCAACAGACAACCATGCCTTTCTGTGCTTTTCTGTGAAGAATATCTCAGCTGTTTAGGGATTGGCATATATTAGAAAGATACTTAAAAAGCCGTCTCACAGATTAACATTAGAGATTCAAACACTGTAGTCACAGGTATCAATTAAACATTCACAGCTCTGAATCTAATGTATGCTTCAAACACAAAAACAAGGAAAGTAGAAAGAGCATTTCTTTCCACGATGTACAAAAGAATACAGTAAGGAAATGCACACCTATAGACAAAAAGCAATAGAGACCAGATTTGTACACACACTGATGGTTCTTAGCAGGAGGACCATATTTTTAAATTGGTAAAATACTGTTTTCTCCTGCTTATACATCCCATAGTTCTGTAGTTTCTGTCCCACTATATTCTGGATGCTCTTTTCTAACCCACTCCTATTTTCACAGAGGTTCCCTGTTCCTTTGAACTCTGTTTGCCAGAAAAAACTGTACTGCAATTCATTTCTTATCTCTTATTGCCCTCCTATCTTCCTCCTCCTGGACTCTCCCCTCCATCTCTTTGTCTTATTTATTTCCCATGGCTTTCTTCAACTAAAAATGGGATAGCCTGTTTCCGTTTCTGAGACCTTCTTCCTTCCAGCAATACCATCACAACTCATACTAGTTCCCACGCAACTTTCGCATTCCAAATATCCTTTAACCTGCCCCCAGGTTTCCTTTTACCTTCTCTCCTAGTTTCTTAACTAAAAAAACATGACCCGTGTTTATTTGGTACTATGAGGTGCAGGAGTGACTGGTGTCTCCCGAGTCTGGGGGGGTACAATCTTTGGGCGGGCCAAAAGCCCCATATCCACTCCTATACTTCTGTGCCTCAGCTTAGTGCCCCTCCTCCCCTCCAACAAGGCAAAAAGACTGCCCTGTCCCGAGTGGTGCCAAGTTGGGGGCCAATCTCGAGGGGGCATGTGCCCCCCGTGCCCCCCCACCAGTTGCCTATGATGAAGTGTTAGCATCCTCTCATTTTAATTTGACTCTGCACTAAATCAAGTGCTCCACACTGAATGCTTCAGAGGGTAACGTGCTCATACAAATAGATTATGCTGATTTTTCTCTTCCTGAGGCTAAGGACCTTCATTTGGGGGAAATTACTGAAGCACCATTGAGTTCTTGTGGAAGAGGAAAAGGAAATCCCTCCAACACCCCGAGCTGCCCTCCCTCCCTCCCCACCTAACCGCCCCCAAAAAAAACACCCACCAAAAAACTGAATACCAGAATATACACAAGGAAGGAGGCTTGCCTTTATGACTTCACCCTGATGCGACTCTATCCTTGACAGCTAACCTAAACATCCTACTGCTTAGTATTTCAAATTTTAATTTTAATCAATCATCCAGAACCACAGGAAGCTTTGAAGACTGTTTTTATTGGATACTTTGAATGGTTTGGCAGTTTCACACATATTCTTCTGTAGATCAATTTCAAATGATAGTACCTTTATAATTCCAATATGATGCATATCATTTACTTAGCATGTAATGATGCTTAAGATATTTCCGTTTCTTAAATCGTGTAATTTACTGGATGCAGAGAAAGCAGGGTGAAAGTGAAGAGGAAGGACACAGAACTGAGTTTTTCCAAAGGTACATCAAGCCTGCATTTACTGAATAACAATTTGGCTTTAAAACCTTGCAAAAATGAAACCTCTAACATTGATCATAGGTCCTCTAACTACTGGTATTACACTAATATAATTTTACAGGAAAAGACTTGCTTGCGAGGATTAATTTTTCAGACATGCATTTGTATTATCAAAGCCCCCGTCACCATTTTTCTTCTCACACTTTTAAACCCTGCCTACTTTCTCTCACTATCAAACCAGGATTTTTTTTTCCTGCTTAGCTATGTACTTAATATATAGAGTGGCATAAAGCTACAGACTATAAAGTTACTGCGCTTCACAGACACCTTCTGTGAATGTTTTATTGGTGATGTAAATGTATATACACAGGGAAAGA